TTTTTTTTAGACAGAGTCTAGCTCTGTCACTCAGGCTGGAGTACAGTGGCATGATCTTGACTCACTGCAACTTCCACCTCCCCGGTTCAAGGGATTCTCCTGCCTCAGCCTCCCAAGCAGTTGGGACTACAGGCACCTGCCACCACGCCAGGCTAATTTTTTGTATTTTTAGTAAAGACAGGGTTTTACCATGTTGGCCAGTCTAGTGACCTCCTGACCTCAATAGAACTCCTGACCTCATGTGATCCGCCCCCTTCGCCTCCCAAAGTTCTGGGATTACAGGCATGAGCCACCATGCCTGGCCTATCCTTAAGATTTTTAAGCTTCTCAGAAATGCCTATCTTCCTAGCATCATGGAACCTAAGGCAAACAAAGTGTTTAATTAGGAAAGAAACAGACAAAAGACTGTTTCCTAATAGAACTGGGATCATCCTCATAACTTGTATCTTCACTCTGACTGCTTATTTCCTGTTCATTGTAGACTATGGACAATTCCTGCCATTTTCTCCCCTCACTATTTTTTTGTATTAAATAAGTTTGTTAGATAATGGCAATCTAGACGTTTTATCTAGCAGAAACTCCTTCTCCAAGGAGACATCCTGGGACAATGATGTGACAGGAAGAGTTCTCTCATTCTAAGTCTTTGGCAGGTGGATAATACACGGGAAGTTGGGACAAAATTCCAATACCACAGAGCTCCACATCTGGGCAGAGATTAGAACACAGATGACTTTAACCTTCAGGGGTCTCTAAAGAAAAATTTCAGAACCTGACTCTGAAGTCAGATTGGCTTTGATTAGGTCTTGCATGTGGGGTGGACTTTAAAAAGAAGACAGAGGAATTCAATGTTGAAGCTCTAAGCTTACAAGATCTCTTTAATAAACAGGACGGAATAAAATCAGTTCTCATTCCAGCAATTTCAAGAGGCTTAACAGTTCAGTCAAGGCCCTGACCTGGACCAGAAGGTGCTCACTCCATTCCCATCTGGGTTTCAGCACACCAAGCCCAATTATCATCAGGATTTTCTGTATGAAGCTGCAAATATTCTCAGATGGGAGTAAATCTAGGGCAGATTTTTATAAGATTTTTAAAGGGGAGAGTTTTTAACTAAATTTTGTCAGTGAAGTAAAAGAACGGCAAGTGGTCCATTCTTCTAATGCCAGTAATTCTGATACTTGGCAGCTTTGAGTGAGACATACCCAGAATGTAGAAATCTAGTTGTATATAAGGAACTGCTCTAATTTAATAACTAAAACTTATTTTATTTTATTTTTTTTTAAAGACGGAGTCTGAGGCAGGAGGACTGCTTGAGCCCAGGAGTTTAAGATCAGCCTAGGCAATACAGTGAAATGCCATCTCTTAAAAAAGAATAGCCAGGCATGGTGGCATGCCTGTGATCCTAGCTATACACGAAGCTGAGGTGGGAGGATTGTTTGAATTTAGGAGGTCATGGCTACAGCGAGCCATGATGGTGCCACTGCACTCCAGCCTGGGCAACAGAGTGAGACTGTCTCAAAAAAGACAAAAAGGCCAGGCATAGTGACTCAAACCTGTAATCCCAGCACTGTGGGAGGCTGGGGTGGGCGGATCACCAACCCAGGACTTCAAGACCAGCCTGGCCAACATGGCAAAACCCTGTCTCTATTAAAATACAAAAATTATCTAGGTGTGGTGGCGCGTGCCTGTAATCCCAGCTACTCAGGAGGCTGAGGTAGGAGCATCACCTGAACCTGGGAGGCAGAGGTTGCAGCGAGGTGAGATTGCGCCACTGCACTCCAGCCTGGAGACAGAGCAAGATTCCATCTCAAAA